TTGTTGTTGTTTTGTTAATGTGGTCAAGGGATTTAACATCGGAGGTCCTCTATACGGCGATAATATGGATAAAGTGAGTGTTGTTGCTTTTTTTTTGGGGGGGGGGGGTTTTGTTGTTGTTGATGATGTTTTGTTGTTCTTGTTGTTGTGGTTGTTTTGCACAATGCCTAGAGGCAAAGGGTTCGTTTTTCTTGTCAAAGGTACGGGATTTAAACTACCTGAAGTGTCTCTCTTCTTCTTCTTAGTTTTAGGTTTTAGTAGAGGTTTAATGGCGCTCGCAACTGCATAAGGTCATATGAGCGCCAGAAGATTAGATCTAGAGGTGTTACAAGAGAGTAACAAACATAAAAAAGAAGAAGGCGAGATAAGGACGATAGATGTCTCATAGGAAAGAAGAAGCAAACCACACCAGAGCACCCGCCAACCACCCACTCTTCTTCTTCTTTTTCTGCCGCGTTTTTTGTTTCTTGTTCATCTTGTTTGTTTAATTTTGTTACTCCCTTTGAAATCATCTACTACTACTACTACTACTACTACTACTACTACTACTAATCATCATAATTTTTTAAATAAATAAATAAATAAATGAATGAATGAATGAATAATTGTTTTAAAAAATTAAAAATATGTTGTTGTTTTTTTCAATTTTAAAATGAATTAAAAGATTAATCAAACAAGCAATCAATCAAACAAACAAACAAAGAAACAAACAAACAAACTAACAAACAATATTCAAAACCTTCCCCCTCCTCCTCCTCTTCCTCCTCCTCCTCCTGCCAGGTGACGAGTGTCCACAGACTCCGCTGGTACAAGAAGGGCGAGTCTGGCCAGCTGACCACCAACGACCACTACACCATCCAGGAGAAAGGGGGTGTGGCGGGGGCGGAGCTTGTGTTCACGCCGGTCACGCCCACCTCGGCCGGCATCTACTTCTGCCAAGTCAGCAACGCCACGGACCATCTGGGCACCGTGGTGAAGGGACTGAACATCGGAGGTCGTTTATACGAAGATTATATGGATAAAGTGAGTGTTCCTTGTGGTTGTTTTGTTGTCTTTGTTTTGTTGTTGTAGTTGTTTTGATGTTGTTGTTGTTGTTGTTGTTGTTTTGCCGTTGTTATTGTTTTGTAAATGTGGTTGTTTTTATTGTTGTGGTGAAGGGACTTAACATTGGGGGTCGTCTGTACGGTGGTAATATGGATAAAGTGAGTGTTCGTTTTTGTTGTGGGTTTTTTTTGTGGTTGTTGTTGTGGGTATCTTGTTGTGGTTGCGTTTGTTGTGGTTGTTTTGATGTTGTGGTCAAGGTCGTCTGTACGAAGATAATATGGATAAAGTGAGTATTCGTTGTAGTAGTTGTTGTTGTTTTGCTGTTGTTGTTTTGTTGTGTTTGTTTTGTTGTTGTGGTCAAGGTACTTAACATCGGAGTGGGTGGTTGGCGGGTGCTGTGGTGTGGTTTGCTTCTTCTTTCCTATCAAACATAATATATCGTCGTTATCTCCCGTCCTTCTTTTTTGTGTATGTTACTCTCTTGTAACACTTCTAATCTTCGGCACTTATAAGACCTTACTTTGTTGTAAGTGCCGTAAAACACTTACTAAAATTTAACATCGGAGGCCTTCTATACGGCAACAATATGGATCAAATGAATGTTGTTGTTTTTGTGGTTGTTATGTTGTTGTGGTTGTTGTTGTTGTTATTGTGGTTGTTGTGGTTGTTTTGCTGTTGTTTTTGTTTGTGGTTGTTGTTTTGTTGTTGGGGTGTTTTAAAGAGTGTGAAAAATATGGATAATATCACCCGCCAACAACCCACACTTAACACCAGAGGCCGTCTGTACGGCGGTAATATGGGTAAAGTGAGAGTTATTGTGGTTGGGTTTTTTGTGGTTGTTGTAGTTGTGGATGTGTTCGTTGTTGTTGTTGTTGTGGTTGTTTTATTGTTTATGTGGTGAAGGGACTCAACATCGGAGGTCGTCTGTACGGCGATAATTTGGATAAAGTGAGTGTTCGTTTTTGTTGTTTTGTTGGTGTGTGGTTTTGTTGTTGTT